GCGCCGAGTGATCACAGCAGAATAAATTGAGGGACTGGGCCACAATATGATACGTGGGTCCAACAGCTTGGGTCAGCAGTTGTGACATCTTTTCCTCCGTCTGATATCGATTCCATCATGCACGGTGCCAGGTCATCATTACACTGCATGCTACTTGCTTGTTGCACTAGAAAGCAGGTGATAAGTCCTCCGTATACAACCTGTCACAGGCGCACAGAAAGCAGCTTGCCAGAGAACTATATAGGAGTTTCCCCAGGTTATCGCTAACATTGTGTATGAACTGTCACTGCCCTAAGAACTAGGATTTTAATGCACTCCATGCAAGATGTCACCCTACTGGACAGAGCCTCTGCAGAACATGGTATGTCAGTTGTCACTTCCCTGAAAAACAGAAGAAACCCTATTATCAGCACAGTCTGCAGGCTTCTGTTGCATCAGAAAGCAGCTCGTCAGTAGAGTGTGTACAAAGATGTCACTGGTTTTCACTGAACTATGTGCAGGCTGTTACTGCACCGGGAAGGGAGGTGCTTAGTACAATGTCTGTGAACTGCAGGTGAATGGGAAAATTGGAGAACAGCAATGTTCACTCCTAGCGAAGTAAGATCACCTCTGCTGACCCAATCGGCATGCAAATATTGAAGAGGGGATGGAGAACTTGTTGAATCTCTGTGAACTTCTAGAATATCCAGGGACCAAGATCTGGTTTTCCTCTTTAATATGCCAGCTTACATTCAAGTCTACCCGAACAGGCTGTACTGTGGGTCTTGGATATGTATCAGTGGCACCTGGGCATACAGAGGTACATCCTGCTCAGTGGACATGCACCAGTTCTATGGAGAGCAAGGCTTAGCCTGTGGTACGTAAAAATGTTGTACCATAAATGTGACATATTAGCGGTAGCCTAAGAGATCTGCTAATGAGAAGAGACCCAACGGAGCTATGGCACTGATAGTTAAAGTATCAACCCGCTACCAATGCCCACCCACATCCTTTCTGGCTTGGTACCATCGGTAGCAGCCCATGGTTTGTTTCCAAGCCTAATAGCAACTTGAATGAAAGTGGCTGTTGAACCAAAAACTAACATCCTCCTTTGATTTCTTTTCCTAGAATCTATTCCCAACTCTTTGGGTTTGATAACCCCCATTTCCTGTCAGCAAGTAGCCCTCTTTAGGAAGGGACTCTCTATTAATACCAATATCAGCTGCCTCTCAAGATGCATAGGGGTGGAACTGAGAACCATAACATCTAACCATCTCCCGTACCAACAACTCACCTGGAGATACAAGACCTGATATGATCAACTCCACCAGCATTTACTCAACTCTGATGTGGATAGGATCAATCCATACAGCGATGCATGTTGGACTTCAGTAGCCCTCTGTCTATAGGCACTTTCCCTCGGGTTCCCTTTCTCTCACCCTCATCAGCTGTTAGCTAATTACTTCAATGGGGAGGCACTAATGCTTTTTCTTTAAAGAAAAAAAAAAAATAGTTACTTTCCCCCAAAGCTGCCCAAAAACCCAATTGCCTGCTCCCCCTCTTTCCCCAGACCCAGGAAAAGAGATGGCGAGCAGCTTTCTCTTGATTGTGTCGATGGGAGATGATTTTCAAGGTGAAATTTCTAGTTCAGTTGAGTCACTTTCGTTCAAGGCGATGAGCAAAATGTCACCCCCACACTGAACCACACTCAATGCGCTGTTCTCCTATTGCATTTAAATTTACTCCACTTTTCCTTTCTGACACCTGTTTAAATCAATATCTTCCTCTCCAGGTCGCGGGCAGAATGTGCCTGGTCTCTCCGCACAGCGCTTCTCAAATCCACTAAAATCAACACAATAATTGAAATATTTTCAAGCTGATTACACCGCTGCCTGAGGCTAGGCTGGTTGCTAAGGGTAAGCTCCCTGGTTGCTAGGGGGAGTAAATCATCTTGCATTATTTGATTTTTGTTATAGATATGAAACCGCTACTCCCTCGATTAAATGTCTCTCAGTCTAACACCTATGGGACCTGGGGAAAGAGAAAAGAAAAGCAGCAACCTTGACCCTGTCAAATAAATATCTCTAACTTTTCCTGTCCTCCGGCTTCCAAACCAAACCTGTCTACTGATTTTTTTTTTTTAACCTGACTTTAAATAACAAAGCTGTGGGGACAAGCAGATGAAGAGAGGAAGAACTGTCTGTTCCATTAAAGGATCTCTCAGCTTGGCTAAACACTCTCTATTTACTCCAAACACAGCATGATGGGGAGCTACAAGGATCTAATAGCCTTGAAGATGTAGAATTGCAACAATTACGGTTCCATTCAGCCAGTGGCTCGCCAGACGTCGGCTTTTCCACCAACTCAACTCGCAGGGCCAAATTCTGCTCCTGGACTCAGGGAGTGTAAACCGGGAGTGGCTCCACTGGAGAGAGTAATTACTCGCGGTTTACCCTGAGATCACAGTTGGCAAGAGTTCACACATGCGCAGAGTATTTTCCTGGTTGAACCGGGGTGCCCACTGCATTGCTCATTGGCAAGCTCCTTCGGGGGGGGGGGGGGGGGGG